AGGATTACCTCAAGACTAATAGATGTCTATGGTGTTTATATCGATTTTTATTTTGATGCATGTTGTACACAACGATGAGAGTGTTGAATGGTATGATGTCGTAGAACAACATTTTAAAACTTTTGCAAATGGGGTAACATAATGCATGTTTTGACTTATACCTCTCCATGGCCTGGTATAATCATTCAAGCAATCAACTTCTTTTGGTTAATATCATTCGTTAGTGAGAATATTGCTCGCTCTTGCTCTTTCTACTGTGTAGTTGATCATCCAAAATCAGATGAGTTTTCTTCACTCCATCAAGGTAACACTCTAAGGAAAGTTTACTCGGAACCAACTTTACATGATGTTGTCCTGAGGGATATCATGCAACTTTTCATTTACATTTATTCGAATTTTACATCCCGCTGCATTGCGCGGGTACACAACTAGTAAGAAACAAATACGTTGACATTTGAACATTAATACAAGAAAATAATGTTATAAAAATTATATTTGAAAGTAAAAAGTTAAAGTTAATCGAGTTCCTATCGAACTACCATGGAACTCGATGTAACTTGATGGCTACTTTGATAATAAAAATGATAAATATATATTTTTAATCAAATGGGTAACTTTAAGCATATTTCCCGGTTCATGTGTTGTTATATGTATCCCAATTTATGTCAAAATTAGATTAAATCATATATTGAAAATGTAAAACGTAAGTCTTGGGTATCAATGTATAAATAAAGAAATCAATAAAGATGATTTATTTAAAAAAAGAATGTTCAAATTAGAACACCTTCATTTTACGAGAACACAATTTTCTACTATAATCAATCATATGTGATATTATATTTCATCACATATGACACATATGTGATACTAAATCAAAGACATGGACGACATTTGATGCGACCTAGGTTGTGAGCCAAGTCATGAGTCATCTGTATATCACATGATACTATAATTTATCATATGTGATACTAAAATATGAATTTGAAAAAATATCGATAGTGCCAAATTAACTATTTGAAAGTCTCGTTTTTTGTGTAACCTTTTTAATTCATTTTTTTATTATAATCTATTTAGGTTTAATAATAAAGTAATTTATTTTTGATTTAATAATGTATTTTTTTATAAAGATAATAATTAAGTATTTTGTTATGACTCAAATTATATTTTAATTTTTTTATATTTAAAAATGAGATATTTATTATGTATTTGATTATGTTTATCTGCAGTTTGTTACACAAATTTAAAACATAGAACTTTAACAAATTGTATTTATGCACAATTTATTTGTAATATTAAATTTTAATTATTATGAATCAATAAACAATAATTTATGCATAAAAATTAGTTTTCAAAAGTTTTTGACAAATGCTTTATAATAGACTAGAAGGGTACTCACGCAATGCAGCGAGATATATCTCGATTTTAATGTTTTATTTTATTTATTTTCTCTGTCAATATAATACGGTTTTTAGAAATAAAAATATTTTATTTTTGAATGAAAGATAGATTTGAAAAGAAATATATCGATATTAGTATTATATTAACTGTTTAAAAGTTTTCCTTTTTTTGGTAATTTTTTTATTTTAATTTAATTTAGTAACAAAGTAATTTATTTTTGTTTAATAATATAATTTTTATAAAGATGATAATTAAGTATTATGTTAAAATTCAATAATTATCTTAATTATATTTCAAAGTTTTTATATTTAAAAATAAAATATTTATCATGTATCTAATTATATTTATTTACGATTAATTACATAAATTTAAAAATAAAACTTTAATAAATTATATTCGACTGTAATATTGAATTTCAAGTTTCCATTCAAATTTTTTGAAATGCAGATTCCTCCTTAAAACGAGTGTACAATCTGGGAACATCAGCCATCTGCTTTTTCTGAAGCAAACCCTTCTGCTGATTCTCATATTTTGTTTCATATTTGGAAATTCTTTCAAAGATGCTTTATCAATTTGAAAATGGAGCCCAATTCCAAAACCCCCTTTTCTCACCGCCATTTTCTCTCTCAAAAACCCTACATTTCCAATGGCAATGAGAAGGAACAGGATCTCTGAATCGGACGATAATATCAATATTGCCGTCAAGGATCAGGTTAGATTTCGTCTATATTCAGCTTTTCGTTTCCATTTTTGAAGTTTTTGGAAGACCTTCATCATCGTTTGACTCCACACGCACAGATACACTTTCTGTAAGAAGAAATTTAGTTCAGTATTTGTATTCTCCTTCATTTTGATTGAAACGCAGTCGTGTTTTGTGGTTTGAATCTAGTTTTAGATCCAGTGAAGTATTCAATCTATAAACATCTCTATATTTTAAGTTCCAGAGTTCATTTGCTTACTCGATTTCTTTTCCTCTTGAACTTTTATGGATTTGCGATTTTTTCGATGCATGTCAGCTATGAATGACCCATCTCCTTTGTGACCTTCCATATCCTCTACTGAAACCAAACTGGCGATCTACGTTTTGAAGTACTGAATTCGATTCTCTTGTTTCAAACTAACTATTGATTCTGCAATCTATGAAAAGCATTATAGTTGTAAATTGAGCTAAGATTGAATAAACAATCGGCCAAAATGATGCTTTTTATGCATTTTTACTTGGAAAAATTGATTGAAATATCCGATCCATTCCACCAAACTCACTTTTTTGTCCTTTTCAGAGCCTTTTTCCAAAATAGTCCATCTTTTAAGTTCAGACGTTTATGCAGATGGTTTAGGCATTTGCGTAAAGGCTGACTTCTGGTAAAAATCCATATATGCGTATGTGTAAGGATTCTTGCTCAAAAATTTGAATCGTTACTAAAAAAATCTGAATCTTTATGCAAAAAAATCTTTTTTCCTTTTATTTAATCTGAAAATCGAGTTTACGCATTTGCCACATCTGCGTAAAGTCTGCTAAAATGAGAATTCAATTGAAAAAGTGGCTAAAAAGTGAAGTTGGTCGGGAACATCGGCTATTTTGGTCAATTTTCCTTTTTAATTCTCCCCTTGGCTGAAATCCCTCTTTCCTGCAAATGACAGTTCTTCGGTAGTTAAAATGATTATAGGATTCATCTTGAAATAAAACCAACTAAAAAACATTTATAATTTTGCTCAAATTTTTTTGGCTTGATGTTCGATATCTCAGATTCGAACACTTTCAGGCACGCCCCTGTTTCCTTTTGGGAATTTAGGGGTTGTTTGGTTGGTTTTCCATCAAGTCCTGTATGGATAAAGATATTTGTGTGCATTAATCAATCTGCATAAATTGAGAAGGTTCTTGTTTGGTTTTTTTTTTTTTCGTAGATGGAATAAACTTGTTTTTTATTTGGAGGGGCTGGTTTGGATTTTTTTTGGTTTTATGCATAAAGCTCCCCCTTAAAAGCTTACTGAAAAAGCCACTTTCTATATCGTTAAACCTCTACCAAATAGTCATGTATAGTTGACTGAATAAGTTGTGAGTTTCATTAAGCTGCTAAGAAACGAGCTTTTAGATGCATGTATTAGAAAACCATTTGAATGACTTTTCGCCGTTCTGATTTAGTTTTTTGTTGGTGTTCTGTTAGCATAACGTTCAGTTGTACTTCAAGATGAATAAAAACCTTCCTGTAAGGAAGGTCTTGGCTGCGTTTTGCAAGAAAAGACAAGTTGATTACAGAACCGTCACCTTCTTACTCGATGGATGTCGTGTTCCCCTCAATAAAACCCCGATTGAGGTAGGTTCTTAAAAGTCAATTTTGTCTTGCATAAATATAGACGGTAGATGTGAGGCCTACGTACATCTCATTTCTCCCAAACCCCACTTTTAGATGGGATATATTTATAATGATCAAAACGTGATCATTAGTTACGACCGGTGGATATATATGATTGATTTGTATTCCTTTTATAAACCGTTTCTAACAAGGGTTACTTTGTGATTGATTTGTAGCTTAAGATGGAAAACAATGCTGAAATCGAAGTAATGTCATCGATGTCGGGTGGAGGCAGAAGCGGTAAATGTTTAGTGAACAGGTATTAATTGTCTGTCTTAATGTGTTCTTATCTGTTGTTATATATTCAACTTTGGGTTCCCCATATGTTACCTATATGGATGGTGATGAATACTTGTTGGAAGTTTATATAATTTAATTTAACGAATTCTTCGTTTGTTTTATTTCATGGGTTATACTGCTAGATGCGTGACCGGCATATCGACTGAATTTGACCGAGGATCGGTTGCGATTACGGTCCTGGTCCGGGCATTCCATTTAGTTACAATTAGAGATGGCCAAAAAATGGTCATGGGCCAGGCCCAAACCGGTCCCGGTCCTAAAAATGCTTTCTGTAGCCGATCTCGGTCCCGACCAAAATACTCCGGCCGGTCTCCATGGTGTGTAACCAATCTCCAAAAATGGGTCTTGGGTCAGGCCAAAACCTTTTTTTTCTCTTTTTTGATAATTGTGGATCAAAAACTAATTTTTTTTTCTAAAAACTCGGTCAATACGGGACTACGAGTTAATATTTTTGTATTCTATCCAAGCGTTTAATGAAAATAATAATCATATATTTGAACATATTGTAAATAACTTCTAGAAACATGCTAATATTCAATTACCCGTTAGTCTTTTCCTATTCTATCCAAGCGTTTAATGAAATTTTATAACGGTAATTACTATTACATGGGCTAATTGTTAGGTGCAGTCGTTTACTTCTATATACATTTATGCAAAAAGTTGATTACCAAGAACCCTAACAGTCCACTAATAGAACTTGCCTCCAAGGACATCAAGGTGAGAAAGCCTTTTTTTTGACTCATTTAGCGGTTGAGGCTAGCCGTGTGCTGGCGGTTGAACCCGGGAACTGACTAGTATTTGGGTCATATTTTTCCACCCTTTTACCAACTGAGTTACACGTCGGATGTAAGCATACTTTGGTGTTACATAATTAACTATTTTGAATCAACTTGGAACAAATGCTCCATTTGGCAACTAAATAACTCGGTTAAATATGACCTAGTTAACTCGTAACCATCGAGTTGACTCAGTTGGTTGTCAATTTCTCTAGTACGGCTGTATTTTCCTTACGATATAAAAAAGTTAAAAGCTTATGGTCAACTTGGGGAATCAGGTTTCCATGGTCATGGTCAAACGTGGAGTGTAATTGAACGCCTATACATATTATATATATATATATATATATATATATATATATATCTCACACACACACGCAGACATCCAGATTCTATTGCGGCCTGCGTCTGGTGGTTTTGATTGAAGTGCGATTATTTCTTCCGATCCTATTCATGTTCCTTCTTTCCGATAGGTTATGATCTCGATTGCTTTTTCTCAATTAAGCACCGTTTCTATTAATTTTCTTATGAATTAGTTGTTTATTTCTACGTATAATTTACAATTTTTGAATTGATATATCAATTTGATAATGCTTTGAAAGGTGGTATTTTAGCTTATTTATATGAATTTATAATGTTGCAAATTTTGAAGTTTGAAAACTGATCCGTTCGATTTGAAGAAGTTAAAAAGTGTCGATGTTTTTGGAATTGATTTGAATCTTATGATTTGAATCTGATTAGGGTTTATGATCATGTTGAACTACAGTCATAAGAACTAGTTGCAGAGATTGTTGTTCAAGTAGAAATTTCTAATTAATCTGTTAGTCATTTAGTTGCAGAGATTGTTGTTCAAGTAGAAATTTCTAATTAATCTGTTAGTAATTTGAAGAAATTCATCACAAATCGATCTCATAGAGTTTGAAAAATTCAAAAATTGTTTAAAAATGGCATGTTGATTCGAAAATAGGTGCTGAGATAGCGATCATTGTTGATAGGGGCGAATCTAGGATTTTCGTTCAGCGGTTGTACATTTAAGGTGGATCAAAGACCCGCAAGGTTATATGATCTGCTTTTAGCCTAATTCCATTGTTTCAGGGGATTATTTAAGTTTTTTGGTTGATTTCAAGAGCTTTTTTTTTTTGTTTTTGGTTAAACATCGGGTTTTTGGATGATGTTCCTCGTATTTTCTAATATTCCGGAGCATCTTTCAAAGTTTAACGAGTGCATCTTTCATACCAAAAAACAATTCTACTTACGAAAATAAATTGAGCGAATGCATGAGGCTTGTTTGGGGATTAGTAGGTCTGCCCCTGCATGTTGATCAAGGGATCACATTGACTTTTTGTAGTCAAATATTGGTCCACATATTCTCACATGGTATCAAAGCAAAGTTGTATCACTTTATACTACAAATACTCTGGGGTGAATAGTATACTCGTGGGTGAATGGTATACTCGTCTAGCCCCCTCATTTGTCTAGCCTTCTTTCAACACTCTTGGGACAATTTGTGCCCGTTTAGCCTCCATTGGAGGCGGCATATTAAGGTCTAACATTGGCTAGACCTGGACAATTTCTCCCATATATATGTCGGTGCAATTTTCTCACTTAAAAGCTCTTTTGGAAAGTAAGTATGAGATTCCACATGTTCTTACACTTGATTTCAGGTTTTTTTTTGCAAATGGAACAAAGAGATTGGAACGAGCTACCCACTCATTGTTTGATTGAAATCTTGGGGAAGGTAGGAATCGAATCGCTTGTAGGGACCATTCCTTTCGTTTGCAAATCTTGGTACAATGCTACGTTCTACCCTCAATGCTGGCAACGACTTGTCTTTACTAAATCCCCTCATTTACGAAGTTCCAAATTTTCAATCCCAATATTGAGATTACGCAAAGACTCACGGTTTGATATGCTGCCATATGAATCTATTGACGAAGCAAATGATTCTCTAGAAAAGTTAGTTCATTTTGCAATCGGGCGTAGTCATGGACTTGTAACTGAGGTTGTCTTTCACCCTCGCTTGCATTTGAAAGAAGGTCAAATCATGTGGATTGCTCAACGGTAAGTTGATCCAAGTGCAAGTTTACAATCACAAGACACTACAACAAAATGGGTATTTTAGGACGTCTTATGATCCATGGCCGACCTAATAAATTACTTAACCGGACTTGACTTTATAAAATCAACTTATTGTAATGTCATTGTATAAGACACATAATTATTGGTCCTAACCTTGAGTGCCAACTCAACCAGCAAATACCAGACCTTTGGGCTCTCACCATTGTTCACAAGTTTTAATCTTCGTAGGATCACTGAGAATTTTCCTATAGGTTATCTTTAGGGCCCATGAGATTAGCAGAGATTAGAGATGCACAAGGCCCGGGCTCTTTCGGGCCTAGGTCTGGGCCTTTCAATCCCATTTTTGTTGAACAAAAAAGGTATGGGATTTCATAGGTCCAGGTTGGCTTTGAGGTTGAGGAGGGTTCGATTAAAGGTTTCAAGTTGCATTTTTTGGTCCTTTTCATCCTTTTTAGGTTGGATCTACCCTTGAAATTTCAACTGACCGGGCATTAAGGCCTATTCTAGACCAGGCTTCGGGATAACTAGGCCCTGGCTTTTTCAGACTGGGCTTAGGCCAGGCCAGTGCTGGATTTTGGACTTGGCTTCTTTGTGCATCTCTAGTACAGATACGTACAAGTTGGTCTTCATACTCACAGTTACCAAAAAAAGATTCAAAGACCCATTTTGTTGCCAAAATTATACCAACAAAGATTAAAAACATTGATTTTTGTTGCCATTTTTATGTGTAGATGTCCATCTTTAAAGCTTTTGGTGTTACCAAGCCATTTGAGCTATGTGATCAACTTTGAAGTCTCGGATTCAATTTGCAACTGGAAAGGTTTAGAGGGTTTACAAGTTGCATCTTTAATTGGCTTGAAAAAATCCATCATCAACATTAATAAAAACTGTCGAAACTTCAATCATTTATGTGTTTACGTTCCTCGGCTTGACGGAGATGTAGCTTCGGTCATCGCTTCACAACTCCCGGACATAAAAACGTTGGATCTACGATTCTCGACCGTCGAAAGGGACGATCTAGTAGCGATCCTAAAAGGGTGTAGGAAACTTGAATACCTCGACGTTAGTGAGTGTAAAGGTGTTGCATGCGACAATGAGATATTAAAGCTAGCAGGTCACATTCGTATATTTAAACACGAAGGCTCCTGCGTAAGTTAGGAGTGAGTTCAAAAGAGATCCTATATATTTTGTGAATCTAAGAACCAACTATTTCACGTGTCATAAATAAATAAAAATTCTAAAGAATTATGTTATTCATTATGAGTATAATGTATTCTCGTTATTCATGATATTATATGTTTTTTTCATGAATATCATGTATTTTAATTATGAATACTTTTATTACCACATTTATCGTGAATAAAACATGAGGGGGTCTTTTTTTAATTTGAGAACCCATGAAATTATGATAACCTTCAGAACTAGTGTATCATGTGTTATTTTATATGAATTTTTCTCATCGAAGATTATAATTTAGAATATTGATTAATATATATTTGTTTCAGAATGTGTTTTTTTTTCATATATAATTATTTCATAATGTGAACCTTTTTAAATTGTTTGTGAAACAAAAGTTACACATAAAAAAAGTTTTATATTGTGAACCGAATACATATGAATCAAACACATTGTGAAACAAATATACCTTCATCATTATATTAAATGCTAACATTAGATTAGAAAAAATCATATGAAATAATATCTTAAAGACAAAAGTTCTCACGATTATCCCAATATATAAAGTTCTCATTTGATTATGTTCCCTAAAACATGAATAGTTGGTTATCAAAATCTCAAAATACTTAGGATTGTGATTTAAACTTGTACCTTAAGTTAAAATAAATGCAACGTCTTGAAAAAATCATATTTGAAAAAAAATAAGATATATATATATATATATATATTAATTAATCTAGATATCCAACCCTTTATGCGAACCGACTAATCACAGGACAGTTACCTGCTTTGCGGGTAGCCCGAAGTCACCGCATTTGAACCTCTATTAAATGGATTTTTATTCCTCGTTGGATTTAAACTTGGGACCTCGAGACACTTTTAATCTTTAGAGTCTAAGCTTAAATCAATCAGATACCACTCCTTTTGTTAAAGACGTTCTAATTTGAGTTGTTATAACCTGGTTTTGGTCCAAATGGCGCTGCTTTTAATTGAACGAGTCATTTTCACGTTCAATGTGAAAGTATTGGTTTTTTTTTGCTCCTTTTTCGTATGAAAAATCTAAATACTATAAGTATATAATATCTAGAGTAAACTATACATTTGGTCCATTAGATTTGTCGAAAATTACATTTTTCACCTCCATAGTTTCGAAATTATAAGATGATATCGCAGTTTCTAAAAATGTTCGGATTTAATTCCTTCCTCTAGAGGCCGTTAAAAGATTCACTTAAATAAGGGGCATTTTTGTATTTTGTTCAAACTCTTTGTCCTTTACGCAATCAAAAACTACATGGACCAAAATCATTAAATTGATTTTGATTGGGTAAAAGATAAAAAAAAATCATGAAATGACGAAAATGCTCATCATTTAATGGAACTTAATAGTGGCCGTTAAAGGAAAGAACTAAATTCAGACGTTTTTGCAAACCACGATGTAAACCATCTTGTAATTTCGAAATTATAAAGGTGAAATTTTTTATTTTCAAGAAACCAAAAGGACCGAATTTGTAATTTACTCTAATATCTATATAATCCACATACACACCTCACATTTGACTTATAGAAAAGATGGCTTACCGAATATTGTTGTAGGAATAATAAAATATATAAAAAACTCTGGTTAGACTCAATGCCGTTCATTAAACGTTTATTTGGCAAATATTTATTGGATAAATTTATTGTAAGATGAATATGATAAGGGCCAAAAATCTTATCGAGTAAGAACGATGAGAAGGATGAAGAGTCTTATTCGGTAAGTAAAGATTACGACTCTTACCCAGGTAAACGATTTTCCAGTAAATTGTTGCATTCGGTACGTTTTGAAAATTTAATTTGAATGTTTTAGGTTCTGAAAAAATATTTTTAATATTTATGATTTATACTTTTATAGTTATATATATATATATATATATATACTATATATTTGGGGGTTAGGCTATCCAAATTGCACTATATAATATATTCTGAATTAATATGTTCTTAGGTTTTTTTGAAATATATATTTACATGTATTAATTCAACCTTAATCTGAGTTTCTGGACAAAAAATAGGGTAAATAGTTGAAATTTCATTCTAAAACTAATATTTTTTGGTCTTTTCATGGCTTATGATCTGTTAGATTTGTAGTTTTCTTTATTGGTTTTGAGTGTTTATCTTAAAACTCAAGTTTCTTGGTTCTTTTCTCTTGGTGTAAATCGAACACATTTGTGGAGTCGTTTAAATATATTGGATTTTAAACTGTCATACACTTTTTTTTATCGATAGTCTGTAATTGGAATCATAACTCTTATTTATTCAAATTGTATTAATATGTAAAAGCCAAGTGTAACCTATATCATCGTTAAATCTTATCTTATAAAACCAGTGAAACTTCAAAATTGTTAAAATTCATGGCTCCCACCGCATTGTACGGATACACAACTAATATTATAATAAAGAAATTCTTCGTTTTATAAAAATAAAAATAAAAATAAAAATAAAAATAAGACAGTTAAATCATACCTCATCTGCACACTCTGTCTCTCTCTCTTCATAAATGTGTTACCAACTCGCATTATAATTTGTTTGTTTATGTATTTTCTAGTTGACTTGACTTTCTCATGATTTTATGACATTATTACATGAGCTCTTGAACCCCAACACCATCGCCATTGATTCAGTCCAGTTCAACCAAAATGACAAAGTACGACTATGTAATCAGCGATCTTCCCATTTACAAAGCTGCGTTGCTTGACGATTGGGATTCTGTAAGTCAAATCCTGGAACAAGATCCAGAACTAATGACGAAGCAGATCACCTACTGGTGGGAAACGCCGTTAATCATAGCTGTCGGAACCAATCGCTCTCACCGTTTCGTTCAGAAACTGGTGGAACGCATCGTTGCCGTTGGTGCATCAGATAAGCTGTTTGTGACAAGTTACGGTGGAAACAGTCCGCTTCATTATGCTGCTAAGGTTGGGAATACGATTGATGCCAAGCTTTTGGTAGCGCAGAATTTGGATATGACTCGAGTTCCGAATCCGTATGGTAATACACCCTTGAAATTGGCAGCATGGCATGGAAACAAGGAGACGCTTCAGTACTTGCTGACCGTAACTAGGGATTTACTCCCCGGGGAAGAAGGAACTAGTCCCTACACCGGAGTTGCTGGCGGCGATCTCATTACTCTTACGATTATGGCCGGATTCTATGGTATTTTCAGATCTTAAATACTTATCGATTGCATATACAAATCATATGTAATCACTCGTTCTTCATCACACATCAAACACTATTTCTTTCCCTTTTGTATTCCAGCAATTTAAATCTAGTCGTGTAAGTATATATTGTGATGCAGATGTTGCGTTAGACATAATCAAAATGCACCCAAACATCGTGCTAGAATACGACAGGAACAACCAAACAGCTTTGCAAGTATTAGCTATGAAACCAGAAATTTTTCCCAGTGGAAGCAGACTAGGATTTTGGGGACATTTCATCTATTCATGTAATCCGTCCTTTATGCATCCTTAATTCCTTATCACTTTGGCTTCATCAAGATGATATAATGATCTGGTTACTACAGAAAACATGATTACAAACAGAGAGTTGTTTATCATGGAAGAGTCATCTGTTCTGGTTTATAATTTAATTAGTGTTGTTTGATGCAAGTGATACCTGCTGTGAAGAAGAGTGAAGGGGCTACAAAAGTCAACATGTTCTTGAGTATTTTCAGCAAGGTATGAATCCATCAGATTCTGCGACTTTGACTTTTTTATAAATCAATTTGATCTTTTTCTCGTAAAACAGTTCACTGCTGGATTTTGGAGTGCGCTTCAGTATGTGGGTATGCTTTTTTCAAGTAAATTTTTGTATACTGTAAAAACTCACACACAGTACTCCTCACATTTTGGAATTTACCGTGGGTATCGTTGGCCTAAAGACCATTTTAACCCTGGAATCGTTGGGCTAAAGACCCTTTTAACCCTGGTATCGCTGGGCTAAAGACCCTTTGCTTTCATCTTTGTATTTGTTTATGGTTATATGCTATCTCTAACTTTGGATCACATACTGTATAGCTCCACCAATCAAGAATATCCATGATATCAAAGTAAATAATATCCAGAGCAGCCTACTTGTCAATGGTATATGCAAGATTGTGATTGAAAAGGTTGATCATGACACAGCTTGGAAGATTTTAGGATCTGCAATAACTACAGCAGTCACATATGGGACTCATGAGCTTATTGAGGAATGCATATTAACTTACCCTGGCATAATCTGGTATGATGTTGGAGGATTTTACTTGTTCCTTGCAGCCATCAAACAACGTCAAGAACGAGTCTACAATCTCGTGCACCAAATGTCTGGCCACAGAGTGTTTGCCGCAACTCAGCTTGATGGTGAAGAAAATGAGAACGCGTTACACATCGCTGCAAAGTTAGCCCCACCTCATCGGCTTAATGTTGTGACTGGTGCAGCTCTACAAATGCAACGTGAGCTTCAATGGTTCCAGGTGATCATAGTAAAGTCATAACTTTGTTGTCCTAAAACTAGCAACAACTGCCACTTTATAATGTAGCTGATTTACTTTTTTCCTTAACAAATAGCTTGCATTTTTGTTCAGGAAGTTGAAAAATTTATAGAGCCATCTTATAAAGAAGCTTTAAACAAATCAGGGAAAACCCCAAGAATGGTTTTCACTGATGCCCATAAAGAGTTACTTGTAGAAGGACAACAGTGGATGAAAGACACTGCATCTTCATGTACTGTGGTAGCAGCACTCATAGTCACGATGGCGTTCGCAGCCGCCTTCACGCTCCCAGGTGGAAATAACGACGATGGGAAACCTCTGTTCTTAGATCGCGGAACCTTCATGCTTTTCATCGTATCAGATGCCATTGCATTATTTTCATCATCTACATCAGTGTTGATGTTCTTAGGGATACTTACTTCACGGTACGCAGAAAGTGACTTCCTTTATGCGTTGCCAAAGAGGATGACGATCGGACTACTGTCTTTATTCTTGTCGTTGGCAACAACTATGATAGCATTCAGTGCTACGATCGCACTCGTGCTTCGAGATAAGGTTACGTGGATCGCGGCCCCTCTTGTTATTGCTACGAGTATTCCTTTGTGCTTGTTTGGGTTGCTGCAATTTCCTCTACTGGTGGAGCTTGTCTACTCCTCATACGGACCAAGCATCTTTCACAAGCAGAACAACCGAAGGATTCATTAGCGTTTCTAAAGTATATAATATTTATATACGTCATACTTATTACTTGATGAGGTTTGAACCGTTGATCTTTTGGAAGGTTGGGTCTATCAGTAATACGGGCACTACTTCCTATGGTCGTATAAGTTGGTTAAACAAGAAGTCTTAAGTATTCTGTAATTTAATTAATTCGGCTTATTGTGGTTTCGAAACTACAGACATCATCTACGTGGTTTGCATTTATTGTTGTTATCGTCCCTGTTGTGGTTTATAATTAAGTGTGAACGATGAAAATAATAATGAATTATAAACTATATAAAGAACAAAAACGACAATAAGTTGTAAGCTACAGGTACGGAAACCATAACTTCCAAAAGCACGTAAATGGAAATAACAATTTTCAACAAAACACAGTGACGAAAAACGTAGTTTGCTAAAAAAATAAATACACTCAACATTTATTCATATTCAAGTAAGGAGCCGTTTACTAAACACTTACTTGGAATAAGTGTCTACCGGTAACACTTATCTTACATATTGAGCATGACAAGAACCGAGAATATTACTCGATAAGAGGCATAACAAGGATCACAAGTCTTACTCACTAAGAGGCTAAAGGCTTACCCAGTAAGTGAGAGAAAAAACTCTTACTCGGTAAACGTTTACCGGATTTAAGATGTTCACTAACAATCCATTCTGATACCGAGAGTGTTACAGTTACACTATAAAGCAAGTAAAGGTGATGTTTATTGACGATAAACAGTTACTCGGGAAACATTTGGTCCTAAATGATTGTAAAATATATATATATTTTTAACTATAATTTAAGAAGACAGGAGTGATGAGGTTTGCATAAATTTCAACTATGATTTTTTATATCTGAATCATTTAAATTAATTTTGTTGGTATACAACTTGGATTTTTTTGTTTCTTTCTTAATAAATGATTTAATGGTTTGATTAATTATTTATATTTTGACATTTAAGATATAGAGCCACAAGTTGACTTGCTTTTGCCAACTTGGATAGTGAAAGATTACAAAAATACCATTTTTCTATTAACCTGAATATATATCCAACTTGTTATGCGAGCCGACCAATTTCGGTATGACCACCTGCTTTGCGGGTAGTCTGGAGTCACCGTATTTGAATTACACCTACCCCTTTTTAATAAATAAATTTATAGTCAATTGTTTTTATTCCTACAACTTAAACATTAATTACCATTTTCTTTTTGTGGTTTCGATTTTGTGTTGGAATCGGTCATTTTCCCTAACAACCATTAACTAAGTTCCATTAAATGATCCCACGTACCGAGCAATTGAAGGTAATTTTATCTTTTTGCATATCTAAGGGAAAAAAAAAACTAAATGTATTATCGCCCCCGGGGCCGGAGGGGCTCCCCCACCTCCGACTCCACTCCCCTTTTCCGGTGAACCCCATGTTCAATGGAGCCACGAAGCACCGGCGATGAAAAAGACAGTACAACCATATGCGATTCTTGTTTTTGTCTCACCACATTGCCAATCTGTGTGGATAGCTATCAATCATCAAACACCTCCCACCACACCAAGACCCGACCCGACCCTTTTGTCCATTGGCAAACCTCTTGTCCACATATATAACACACAGGCTGGCCTAGCTAGGTGGTTAACATTAGGAACACCATTCAAAAATCTCATTTTTGATAAGGGTTTTGGTTTCTTCTTCAGGTATCTAGGTTCAATATGGTGTGATGACATTAGACCATTGCCCGGGCCTAACATATATTTTTTTTTTCGTCCAACGGGCCTAATATGGTAAACCCAAAACGGGCTTGAAAACTTACCCATACCCGTCCTGTAAACGAGTCGGGTTTGCCCGCGGGCTTAAAAACCTTGTTATATTTTTATGAAAACAAAACTTATATAAAGTTACAAGTTACGTAAAATAATTCAAAATACATAACAATTTTTTCCACTTAAAATTTGACGTAGATACATAATAATATACATATTTTAGAAAGAAATTGTTTCACTAAATATGAAGTATTAATAAAGAAAAATGACTAAATGAGATAATAAAGAATTGATCAATTGATATAATTATATTTTCAAATTTAAGATTTTGAAAGAATGTCGTTATCATGAGTGGAATTGATAAATATTGAGAATTTTCAATTTTATTTACAAATTTGAAGTATAAAAGTTAATTATTATAAAAATATTAATGGGTCTGGCAAGCCTACCCAAATATATCTATACAATATTATAAAGCATTTGGCTAAAACTCTTAAACTCTTAAAAACTCTTAAACCCGTTCATCCCTATCCGATTTCATCTCATATCTGAATTCATGTAACTAACTGCAGATAAACACAATCAAATACATGATAAACATCTCATTTTAAATATAAAAAATAAAAAATAAAAAATATAATTAGGATAATCATTGAGTTCTAACAAAATACTTAATTATTATCTTTATAAAATGTTATATTATTAAACCAAAAATAAATTATTTTCATTATTAAACTTAAATTAAATTATAATAAAAAAATAAATTAAAGAAATTACATAAAAAATGAAAACTTTTAAATAGTTGATTTGACATTAACATTGATATATTAAAAATTTTATAATATCTTCAAATTTATATTTTATTCAAAAATAAAATCATTATTGTTTTTTTTAAAAACACATAATCTATACTATCTATACTATATTATAAAACATTTGACAAAAACCTTAAAAACAATTTTTTATGCACGAAATATTTTTATTGATGCATATTAAAATATTTGACAAAAACTCTTAAAAACAACTTTTTATGCACGAAGTATTGTTTATTGATGCATATTAAAACATTTGACAAAAACTTTTAAAAACAATTTTTTATGCACGAAATATTGTTTATTGTTGCATATTTCTTAAAATTTAAGATTACAAGTAAATTATGCATAAGTATAACTTATTAAAGCTCCATACTTGAATTTGTCTAACTAACTGCAGATAAACATAATCAAATATTGGATAAATATCTCATTTTAAATGTAAAAAATCTAAAATATAATTATGATATCATTGATAACTAACAAAATTTAATTAAAGAAATTACACCAAAACACAAGAACTTTTAAAAAGATTAATTTAATACTGATATCGATATTTTTTTAAAAAAAATTTATGATAGTTTTAAATTTATATTTATTCAAAAATAAAAATATTACTACTTTCTCAAAATCACATAAAACCATTGTTTACTTAAAATTCAAGATTACAAGTAAATTATGCAAAAGTACAACTTATCAAAGCTCGATTTTTGAATTCGTATAACTAATTGTGGATAAATATAATCAAATAGAGGACAAACATCTTATTTTAAAATATAAAAAAATCTAAAATGTAATTAGGATAATTATCGAGTTCTAACAAAATAATTAATTATTATCTTTATAAGAAAATTATATTATTAAACCAATTATAAATTAATTCGTTATTGTATCTAAATTAAATTATAATAAAAAATTGAATTAAAAAATTACACAAAAAATGAGGAATTTTAAATAGTTAATTTGATACGAATACCGATATATTTTTGTTATGCATAAAGTACTGTATATTGATGCATATTAGTTAAAATTCAAGATTACAAATAATTATGCATAAGTACAACTTATACAGGCTCGATGTTTGAATCCGTATAAATAATTGTGGATATACATAATCAAATAGAGGATGGACATCTCATTTTAAAATATAAAAAATTAAAATATAATTAGAATAATTATCGAGTTCCAACAAAATAAATAATTATTATCTTTATAAAAAA